GCGTGGGCCGGGCGCGCTGCGCCACCGGGGACGCGCCGGGCCCGGTGTTTGGGCGAGCCCTGCGGCACACGCCCACGGGCCGGGCAGGGTCCCTGCCGCTCCCCAGAGCGCCGGGCCTGGGCAGCTGCCGACACCGAGCGGGGTCGGGCCGGGGCCCGACCCGCACCCTCAGCGCCGGGGAGGCCTCCCAGGGGCTGGGACCGCTGTGCCTCGGCTGCGGCGAGGCTGCTCCGGCCCGGAGTAGGGCTGAGGACGGGGGTGGCGGGGGTGCCCCCATAGCGGTGGCAGCTGCTTCTTGCTGCTCACTGGCAGGAGAAGGCACGGGTTAACGCGCCGCGTTTGTCTGATCGATACTTGCTTTGCTTTCTCTTCTGCGAGCAGCTTACTTGGCGTGCCACCTCTGTTTATTAGGCTAAATGTAAGCGCATGACAGCGACAGTTGTAACTCCTGTTGTTCTGACCTAGGAAAGCCAAAGGAAGCAAGGAAGAACTTTTTTAGACAGGCTATTTTAACATTAACAGCTTCATTAGAAAAAAAATGTCTTGGTGAGTCCTTTTTCAGGTAAAACAAGCAAAGTTTTAGTTTGTGTCTGTATATACACAGTTCATTTATAAATTTCGTTCATTCGTAGTTACGTTTCAAATAAAAAATAAAGTTGTTTGGGAAGATGTCCTGAATCCATTTTCAGAAGAAACTGTTTTAACAAACTTTTTCAGGTAAAACAAGCAAAGTTTTAGTTTGTGTCTGTATATACACAGTTCATTTATAAATTTCATTCATTCATAGTTACGTTTCAAATAAAAATTTCATTTATTTAGAAATATAAAATAAAGTTGTTTGGGAAGATGACCTGGATCCATTTTCAAAAGAAACTGTTTTAACAAAGCATAAATATTGAGGTCTGTCATTCAAACTTTGATGCAACTCTTCCATCAGTTACTCCTGCCTGTCTTCTGATTCTCTCTGCTCATCAGTAGCTAAGGGTTTTTGGTTTGCTGGATTTGTGCTGGCTTTCTTTACCAGTCTGTAAGTAGGATTTTGTGGTTGGTGTTTCATTTTGGTTTTCTCTCCAGTAATTTAATTAGAATTTTAACATGCTGCTGTGTGAAAAATCTCATTCTGCTAGTCGGCATCTGGTTGAAAGTTTTCAATTTTTTTCCATTGTGGTTGCCTTGTCCCTGATAATTACTACCAGTAGCAGCCTTGAAACAACATTGTTTTTATTCTGTAGTCCCACCAAAGAATTAGAGTAAAATTTTAAAAGTAGGAGCAGTGTAATTAATATTTATTTTCATCTGATCTTACATTTAAATTATATTTTAAATCAGATGTGCCTTATTTTTAATGGCAAATGTGGAAGGGAGTTATTCTAGTCAATACTACACTTACTTTCTTTTTCCAAACAATTTACTTGCTCCCAGCAGACTTGTTAAATTGGTGTGGCTTCCTATTGGCTCTTCACTAAGTTAGCCCCCAGAGTTAGTAAGCACTGTGCCCTGGTCTTGTTGGGTACATATTTATTCATAAATAAAGAAACAGCTTCTGTTCTGTTTATGAAAATAGGCTTAGTGCTCTCTTTAAGTACGATGCTGTGTTGCAGCACTTGTGTCTTGCTGCTGCCAAAAGTGAGAGGCTTTGCTTTGTGATGTCCTCTGTTGTAAGAGTTTTTCAGGGTCTCTCAATACATTAGCTGAGTATACTAAAGCAGCAGAAGAATATTCTTGTTTTCTTTTCCTGGATTTTTTTCTTCCATTTTAGTGAGTAAAATTACTATAAAGAGTTCTGGTGAGTGCTGAAATTCACGCAAGGTAGGAGCCACTTGGGATGGATTGGCACTCCACCCTTGAGGAGTATTCATTATTTATTTTTTATGTGACCAAGCCTGTGATTTATCTAGGCCTGCTCATTTTCTCTTAAAAACATGGGACTCTTTTCTGAAATTTAGTTAGGTCAGTCAAACTTCCTCTTTCCCCTATATTGCTGTATCCTCTTTTGTTATGGAACGTACAGTTCTCATAGGACAATTTTCTTATCTGACTTTCTTATGGAAGAACATAGAAAGCTGTTACTTACATGGGGCATGTAGATGTAGCTGGTACATAAAGGGAACGGAATGCATGTTAGTTCTTGAGGTTCAGCTGAAATACTGTCTTGTGTAGCACCAGGTCACTTTTGTAGCATAACAGTGTTAAAGATATGTCTAGATTTTAGATAGTCAAGTGTAACTCAGTCATCCTTGAAAATTACTGTTAAATTTATCAGCAGTCCAAAACAGAACAACTTGGAGCAATTGTGCTCTGCTGAGATAAAACATGGAAGTTGTGCTCTGAGCAAGTATGCAATGCTTCTCTTTTATTGCACAAGAAGGAATGAAGAGCTGTTTAAATTATTAGTTTGTTGCTGACTGATTTCTGTAGCTGATGAACTAATTTGATAACACTTAAGAGGCCCTCATTTTTGTGCTGGAAAATCCCTATTATGACCTCTTAGTAGATGTGGTAGTTTGGTATCATGATTAAATACAGAATGGTTGTCTTTGGTATATGTGAACTCCAGAAACTGGAGTAGGGAGGGGAGGGAAAACCTGTTCATGTTAGGAACAAAGGTTTTTTACACATCTCTTTCCTTTCAGCATCTCAAGAAGAAAGGTCCATTTTGTGTGGAAATAAGTGACTCTCAGAGGACTGTCCCAATGACAGAGCTGTCTGCACATTTACCCCAGTTTCAGCATGGGCAGCTGACAGAAAACTTCCCTGATACCCATCTCAGCAACACCGTATGTAACAAACAATTTTAGTACCTGCAAGCAGTTAAATGGGGATGAATAATTTGTTGGAATTCTTTTTTCTTTCTGAACTGTTGTGTGATAAGCAGTGCCAATAGAAATATGCTGCAAAATATCTGATGTTCTAAACTCTTTTTTATGTACAAATAAGACCTCCCCCAACTTAAAGTGGTGTTGGAGTGACCAAGCCATCAAGGGAAAAAAAAAAAGGGTCAGACACTCTGGTATCAAACACTGACATTTACAGTATTTAGTGAGCTGTCATGATGTGCCTGGCTGTGGTCTGCTTGGTTCACAGGTTTCTCAGTCACAGAGTTAATTTTAGTCTAGGTAGAGGATGAAGCCTGGGTTTTTTTACTGCTATTGCTGGAGGACTGTTCCTCTGCAGGAAGAACAGCTCTGTCTTGTCTTACTTGTGAATAATTTTCAAGGTGCTCTCCTGGTTCTTGAGGTTTTGAGGGTGGAGGAACTCAAAACCTGAAGTTTTATATGATTGCTTTCAAATATCTAAGCACATACTTGTTGCTAAAACTATACCATTGTACCATAAGTATTTTGGAAAAATCACATTTAGATTATGTACTTGGGTGTGGTGCCCAGGCTCTTAGACTTGCCACACTGTTCTTTGTTCCTGCTATAGCTCTTGAATATCAGGTTTCCTTGTGGCATGGAAATGCTTTTGTGAGGCTGGGCCACTTGTAAATGTGTCTATAGCAGTAATCAAGAGAATGTTCTGATTCCTGCTTCAAGTCTTCTGTACAATTGGCAGTTTAAATAGAATTTTGAAAAATCCTCAGATAATCATCATGCTATACCAATAAAAATACAAAACATTTGAAAAATTAGAAAAGTGGGTACTTTCCTACTGCATCCCTTCTCCTTTCACTTCAGAGGAAATGAAAAAGATTTCTTTTCCTCTTGGACAGGTGAGAGATTAATCATTATTGAAAACTTCTGCCAGATTAAAAAAGCCAGATTAAAAAGCTATGGGCTCACTATCCTTACAGATAACTTGGTGGTGCTCCTTACCAGCAAAGGGTTCTATGTTCTACTCACTAACAGACTGTACTGATGAATAACTGCTACTTGTGCCTTTCCTTTCCATGTTTAAGTAACTGTAGTTTTGATACTAAGTTATAATGATGTTTCTCCCCTTTACACATCTATTTTTTTTTTTGTACACACCTACAAAAGTCCTTTCCTGTTGAAGTATATATACTAGCTTCTGTGGCTAACAAGTCAGCATGTGAAATCCCTAAGTGCTGTAATTTGCTATCTCTTCTAGTCTTCGCACACTAAGAGTTCAACCCAATCTTCAATACCTGCCGCTGCATAATGACCTTTTAACATCAGTGATGTATGAGAACTGATGAAGTCCGTGCCCACTGTCAGGCATGGTGGTCTGCCCCAATGGATAAATCTGGATTTAATAGCTAAAAACTTCTTATCAAATATGCTAAGTTTTTTATCTCTTGGTTCAGGGGCATTGGTCTGGGTTTGCTATTAACTATTTTCCTGATAGGGAAAGAAACACTATCATTTGCTTTTGATATTGTTTATTCACCTGAAAGCGCGTAGTTCGTAACTTACATTTGCTTACGGTGTTACAACAGGTGTTACTGACTTTTTAGCTTCAGAGTTTTCACTTTTAACTATGTCTGAGGAAAGTGAAGAGTCTGTTCCTTTGCTTCCACTTCAGCAAGAGTCCATGGCCTCTGCTCTGTTTAATACTGATCAGGTAGGATATAAGTGCACTTTGTTCTTTTAAGCAGTGGGGCACGCGCATGTCACATTCAGCTACACTTTAGTAGCCTGAAAGGACAGCTTATTTTCTAGCTTTAAGTGCAAATGAGAGAATAACTTGTGTAATTCTTTATGCTGATCTGGTTTTCATGCACTGTGTTTTAGTATGTAAAGGCCTTTTTTGATTGCATCTTTGTTCCTAGCTAGTGAAGGGAGTAAAATGACACATATTGGTCTAATTTCTTCCATTTTTCTTTTCGTTTGATATAACAGGTTTTTGTAGTGGTGTGCTTAGTTGATCAGGCTTTTCCTTTGGATGATTTTGTGTTTGCTCTGTGAAGCTGTAGATTTTTAACTTATTTCAATATATTTCTGTTCCAGAGATGGGGTAAGTGCTCCCTCATGCAAGACTGTTATTACAGCAGAGAAAAAGCGACACATTTGGCAAGTGTGCAGAAACCTAAGTACTCGGTTTGCTCTGCTTGTGCAGAGTTCCAAGGCTCTGTTCATCTCCAGTGTGTTGTTACTTACGATCATCTTAAGCAGTTTATTTAGATGGTTAAGTTTATTGCTGTCTTTCTGTAGACTGAGAGAAATGGAGTATTTTACTATCAAAGTGAAAAATGTTACATTTCTGCTGTAATCTGTGTAGAAATAGGTTTAGTTGTGGCCAGCATTTCAGATTAGTTAAACATGATCTCTTTATTTGCATTCTCCCTTATTCCCGTTTCTATCTGACTTTCAATAATTGTATGTGAGGACTTTATGCAAAGTGCCAAGTGATTTATAACAAATTTTTCATTTAGTAAGAAATAATTTTGATCCCAACATCTTTTTCAGTGCCTATTTCAAATTAATGATACTAAATTCAAACTAAGGTTAAAACCGTGACTGTAAAAATCTGCTTCTGTCCTAGTTTTAATTGTGTAATTTAAACAATTTTAGTTTGGAGCTTTTCTCCTCTTACATTCCATTTCCTTGTTGAAAAATGAAACAGATTTTCTCTGAGGACAGATCTTGAAACCCTGCTGAGCTTGATCCTGAGGGTACCACAAAAAAAGGAAAGAATAAGCAGAGCATTTGGTGCATATTATTACTTTGTACTGCTTTGTAAAAGCAAATTTTTCATGAGTTGGGGAAGTTGTAAAGCTTCAACCAGGGTTTTAGCAGTGTCAGTATTTACAGTTCGAAGTCCAAGGACTTGTACTCCTTAATCTCTTAAGTGCTTTTAAAAACCCCACTAGGAGTTTCTGAGTGTGTACATACCATTTTTTCTGAGGGTGGGGCTGGGAAAATTCTGTAGAGAGAATCTCTAAAATTATTATTGATTTATTGAAAAACTGCAGTGAATTAATGAGATACGAATCAGTAGTTATGTTTAGAAATGCTACTGAGGTCAGCTAATTAGACTTTAACATTGCACATTTAAGGAAAAAATTACCTGAGTAGGAATACTTAAGGAAAAAATCATTAGGTTATTTTCAGTGTCCTGTCTTATGTCCAGATCAATTTTAAGAAAACTGAGTGATATTTTAAAGATATTGCAAAAGGTATCCTTGAGTTTATTGTACATTTTAATCTAATGCTGCTTTAGTGCACTTGGTCAAACAGAAATGTTCTGCAGGAAGTAATTCAGAAGAAATTAGATTAATTTGGTAAGGAATAAAAAATATTTTTGTTTTATCTCCTGTATTAAACCTCTTGAATTTGAACAGTACAGCACTGATTTTGGACATGGTAATACACTAAAAAAATGAGTGGTCTATATCGACTGTCACATTTTAGTGCTTGTTTAGTGTGTCTGGTAATGGTTTTGTTTCTTTGTAGTCCAGAAAAGGTAAAGCATAGATCACTCTCCTGTTGTGCTCTCTGTACATGCACACAACATATAAAAGGTGAATGCCCCCTGCTCATGGTGCTTCTTGAAGAGGGTGCAAAATATTTGTGACACCATGAGCCTGGAGTGCAGGCCTGATCACTTACTAGTAGGTGATGTTCCCCGTTTGTGCCTTTGCTTCCACTGGAAGTTTACCACTGTGTTGGTGTTTGAGTTATATGCTTGATGTTTCGTGTGTTACACTCTTCTTGTTTCAGTATTAGGTGGGACGGGAAGCTCTTCCATACTTGTGATAAGAGTGGTGGAATTTCTTCAATATCAGTGAAAGGATGTGGCAGTAGTTTCCATGGGAAAGAAGAAAATCTGCATGCCTAACTTTCCATACTGAAACTTTGGGATCAAATAGCAGTCTGAAGACTGAGAATAACCTGAGTTTGGTCATCATTTCTGTGTCATTCTTACTAAAAACATGAGAACATTATACCTCATGAAAATCCATTTTAATATATATTCTACTTAGTATACTCTAGTGGGAGTAGCACAGTAAAGGAAGGGGACATTTTCTTGGGATTTTCATGGAGAGGGAATCCTAAATGTCTGTTTGGCATTATTCTTGAGGGCCAGTACAGCTGATTCTTGTCAAGTTACAGGCATTCTACTGTTATGCATCCTTTTACCAAGGGAAAAAGATGCCTTTACTCATATTTCAAAGTTCTCTTAAAAGGAAAGGCTCTTTAAATCCCACCAACCTACTTTTGACTGTTAGTTTTTTTAATGTAAATGTTTATAACATGACCCTGTGCTCCCATTCTTCTAATTACTGTGATGCAGTTAATTACTACTGTTTCAATCCGTGCTGTGGCAAGTGTTCTTGGCAGTGAATATTATCTTACATGTTTCCTCCTCAGGGTCATCTTTAGCTTAATGTACAAGCACGTGACTCTGGAGAGTTGCTGAGGGAACTGGTTTTTATGTGTTGCAGAATGACAACAGTGAAAGACGTCGCCATGATAATAGTGAGCGCCGAAGAAATGACAATGCCGAGTCTGAGACAAATGGGCAGCCACAAAACAACATTCAGCAGGTGGTGGAGCAAGATGAAGAAGAAGATGAAGAGCTAACACTGAAATATGGGGCAAAACATGTGATTATGCTGTTTGTGCCTGTCACGCTTTGCATGGTGGTTGTTGTTGCAACTATCAAGTCTGTCAGCTTTTATACACGCAAGGATGGACAGCTGTATGTATCAGTATTTTCCCCTAACTTTTTAGTGGATTTAGATAATTTTCTTCAAACTCCCAATTCTTTTGGAGTCTGATTCAAGCAGTGAACTTCCTCTTGCCTCTGTTTTCCCCTGCTCCAATCCAAAGATTGTTTTATTCCTTCCAGAAACCAGACCCTTCTCTTTGTGGTACTATTGACATTTATTGTTTGTCTGGTGACCAGTGGGGATAATATCTTGGTTGTTATTGCTTGATTCAAATCCTTGTCCTCATTTTAATACTTTATCATGCTGTGAACACCATCTTGAGCCAAAGCCATTTCACTTGTACTATGCTAGAATACAAGAGTTTTGGAAAAGGAACAAAACTACTAGTGTAAATGAAGTAACATATATGCCATGTTCTGGTTTGCCCGTGCTGTTTAATAAAGAAATTCAAATGCAAAGGGAATATAACTTCAAGAGGTTCACTTCTGGTGAAGTTCTAGAAACTATCCTGGGCGATGTTTCTGTAGAAGTTTTGGGATCTTGGTAAAGTGTTGATGTTGCCAGAAGAACCCCCAATTCCAGAGAAAGCTGATTTGAGAGCAAGGGGGCAGAGGAAGAATACTGAGCCTGTCAGAAACTGCAGCAAGTCATAGAATCACAGAATGTTGAAGAGAGAATAGACCTCAGAGATCAGTTCCACTGTGAAAACATTTAGACAGAATGATTCAGAGTGTGTTTGGCTTTGAAATTTTTGTATAATATAAGCATGTCATTATTTTTTTTACGATAAGTGTTTTCTTCTGTCTCTCCTTCCCACCCCACAATGAAGTAGTTGCCTCAGGAGATTGTATTTCTTTACAAAAAAGTGAGTTGAGCCCATGCATTTTGTTGTGGAAATCACAGGGGAGGCTTTCATGGTGATTCCCTAGGTGAAATTCCAACTGCACTGGTCATCACATGAGTGGTATTGTGGGAGGGTAGCAGAGACACACAGCATGGGAGTAGCCATATCAGACTGTGGGCTGCTGTGGGCTTTATCTGCTTTACAAAGCAGAAAGCAGTAGTAATCTAAGAACGTAGGAAAGGCAGGTCTTCTAAGGAATTCAAGTTTGCTTAATATGCTACTATGCCACCTTTCAAGTTTTGCCTTAGTAGAAAATAGATATGCTTCTACAGCTCTGAATTGAAAGATTACTGCAGTTTTGTTTGATGTTGGCCTCACATACCAGAAACATTGGTGCATTCAGTGTCATTTCAGTTGACTTTTTGTTTTTGTAGCATCTACACTCCTTTCACAGAAGAGACAGAGACAGTAGGACAGAGAGCCCTGAATTCTATTCTTAACGCAGCCATCATGATCAGCGTTATCATTGTCATGACCATCCTCCTGGTTGTGCTTTACAAATACAGGTGCTACAAGGTGAGTAGTTGTGCTAGTTTTATTTATTAGTACAGATTATTTAGAGAATGGAAGAAAATGAAGTCTTATCAAGGATGAGTGAGTGAAAGTAGCAGAACTGCTGATTTAATGCACCGTTTCAATTTTGTGGCTTCTGTTCATTTGGCACAAAGCAGGGCAAAGGCCCAGTGCTATCACTGCCATCTATTCTGTCAGTTAGAAAAACATTGCTTCTATTATTTTTAAATTTTTATGCACTGAAATATTTCTGTGGTCAAGAAATAAAAAGGACAGACTTGGTCCTATTTTGTGGGCCCCCTCTCCCTCCCTGTCCCCGATACAGGTGTCTCCCATCAGTGTGTGTGGCTGTACACACCAGGCAGTATTCGTATGGCAAACACTGAGACTCTAAGGCTCTTTGTGAAAGGCTTCAATCTTGTAATGATGTCATCTAGGCAAGTCCAGGCTTAGCATAATTAATTGCAGTGCCACTTGCATGGGAGGCGTTGTCCAAGAAAATTCCTGGTTTGTTTTGGTCTTAATGATCCATTTGACAAGGCTTAGCCTAATAAAGCTTCTCAGTATGCAGCCAGGACCTTGAATCAGTTGCAAAACACGTAGTGGGATTCAAAGTTTTGCTTCATTTCATTCTGTTTTCAAGAGGGAATAGTGGTTTTGGTCTTCCTGTCTGTGAGTGAAACCCCTTTACAAATTATCTGTTGAGTGGCAGGGGAAATTATTTTTGCCTGATGATGTATACATCATGGAATACTGATTTTTGATGTATGGACCTTCACTTTTATCATAGTGTGGTGTTACATCTGAAGTGACAAATTGCTCTTGTTAAACTGGCAGTTCTCTTCATTCTAATGAAGTCAACTACTGTGCTTTAGCTAGGTTCCTTAGTAGCCACTTGGTTCTCCTCCGGTGCTGAAGGCAACAACTACTTTTCACTAAGCTTTTCACATTTCTGGTTTCCTTCTTAACCTTTTAAAGCACAGCATATTTTCCATACAAAAATAATTGTTCTACTAAAAATTAGAATTATTACATACCATAAATTTCCTGTGATTATATTTTATGCTAATTACACTTAATAATTAACTTATTTTTTAATTTCCTGTCAGAAAATTTCTATGCTGCTATATCAGAATGCTGTGAAATATAGTTACCTGCAATAAAGTTCTATTTTACATGCAGTTCTATATGTAGATTGTAGTCCAGATTATGAGAAATGGAATTTATAATGAAAGAACATTACATCTTCATCTAGAAGTGATAATTTGCTTCTCCTCATAAGATTTTTATCTGAAAACTCTTTTGAAGAAAGGAAATATTACTTCAGCTTCACTGTTGTTAGTTTCCTGTGGTTGTCTTGTACATGATATGTTAAGCATGATCCTGATTCTAGCTCTTCAGTCTAACCAGAAACAGCATCTTTGAAAGGGATTGTATTGATCAGCTTTTTCTTTTTAATTTATTATTCTCTGTATTCTTCATTGTTTCACTCTGCCTAACCAAAGTCTGACTGCTGTAGCTGATTTTAATTCTCTGCATCCTGCAGCCTATCCTTAATTTTTATTCAAGTTGTAGCAGATAGAGCCAAATTTGTACCAGTAATCAGTTAGCGTCAAAGTTGTTAAATGAAAAATGAAATTTCTTTAATTAGAAGGCAAAAATCCTGTTGTGGTATCCTGCTAGGAAAACAGCGAGCAAAACTTACAAGAATTATCTAGAAAAGTAACTTGTAAGAAAAGAGACCCGTGATCTGGAAAATGCTATAGTAAATGAGATACATACTGAGAATACAGCAAACGTCTGTGTGTAAAATGCCAACTTAGATCAACTCTTGAAACTACCACCTCTAGTTCTGTTGGCAGTAGTTTTGCAAGGTGTGTGTAGAAGTTAGCTGGACTGTGGCCTTGGTGTTTGACACTGTCAGCATTCACTACTTTTTTGGGATGAAACATTACTGTTCACTTTATTTCTTAAGTGATAGGAGTTTAAGAGCTTATATTACAAATACAAAAACTACAGGTAGAAGTCATGGGAGAGCTTTCTTTGCTGTTTTCTTAAAGTAATTTCAACTGATTTTACAGAGGAATAAAATTACTCTTGTTAGATCCCTGCTTAGTAGCTGTACAGGTAGTTGGAAAATTTGGTTCTGTTTGAGTCCATATATACTGATGTTCACCTCTGAAAGGTTGTTTCTCCCACTTGCTGTTAGTGGTGAGAGTTTGAAATACTGAGACAGATACACTTTGGCAGTTTTCCTGCAGCACCTTTACAGGTGCTTATTGCATGTGGGAATTTCTTAAGTCTTTTTGAGAACATACTAGCAAAAGGCAGTCTGTTAGATTAGGAGGTTAAATGACAGGTTTTATTAGGTTGGAAGTTAAATTTGAACCTCTTTTGAGAAGCAGTGTAAAGGAGGAGAGTGAATGTTTCAAATATGGTCAGAAATTTTAAAAATGCGTATGAAAAATGTATCATTAGACTCAGTGTGCTAAATTTCTAGCTGTAATGGCTGGATTTTTGATTTGTCACAAAGTCCTGGTTGCATCACTTAAGTGTGATTCCTTTAGTCTTTGTGCATATGCACTTTACTTTTAAGCTAATTTTTGCTAAATATTTTAAGAACATCAGATGCATTCTACTGTACATCTCTAAGAAGAGGTCAAAGAGATAACACATTTTTTTAACAGCTTCTGAATACTTTACTCTGGTGTACATATATAGCAAATTTAGCCAGGTAATTTTCCACTGATTGTATCTGTTGAAAGCAGGATTCCTTATGTAATTTTGATTTCTAGATTATTGCTTCTGACGGGTTGTCTACTTGTAATACTGGGTCAGATTTTATAAAAGAGATTCTGTGCTGGGACTTTGACAAATATATGTTCATTCTCAGTTAATAGATACTAAGACATTACTGCAGTTAAAGAGGTCTTCAGTCATGGTTTTTTTACTTTGCACAATAAATACCAGAAGAGTGCACTTCTGTCAGTGCAAAGTCTAAGTGCCTGTCATTTCCAGGTTTAAATCACTGGGTGGCCCTGCTGAGTACATCAGTTAACTGTTCTTTATTGAATTGTTGGGCATGTAAGTCTGCTCTCATATCAAAATTAGGGATTATGTCTGTAGATGACTGATAGAGAATATAGAAATCCTTATATTCATAAGTTACATTTCAGCAGATAAGTACTGAAGGTTTTTCTGGTTTCCAGCATTTAATTCTATAACTGCATTCTGAAAGTTATTTGAAATCAGAGCAGCACAAAAGTGAATCATGTTTTCCATCTGTGTTCATGCTGGATGATTCTGCTGTGTTGTAATGCCACTGGTATCAAAATGGTCTAAAAATACACGAACAGTAGTGTTCAATAGAGCTAAAGAACATCCACTAAAAGTTCACAAAGCACTTAAAATTCATAAGTGTGAAGTGAAATACACCAATATGCATAGACTAAACATGAATGTAGCACCAACCAAAGAGGAAGATATCTTAAATAATTTTCTTCCTTTAAACAAAAGGAAAAATAACCTTAAAAGCCTTTTAATATATGCTAAATTAAAAAAAAAAAAAAAGTCTAAAAACATCTGTATTGATATCTTCTTCTCCAGGTGATCCATGGTTGGCTTATAATTTCTTCTCTTTTGCTGCTTTTCTTTTTCTCATTCATCTACCTGGGGTAAGTGAACTAAACCATTAATATTCTATTTTTCATGTATCACTTTATGTATATTTTTATTTTAGAACTAGACCTTGAATCTTAAGAGGAATGATAGTGAGTAAGCTATTGCAATATTTTTTTTAGTTTTGTATAGGCTGATAGAGTACACATAAAAGAAAGAGTGATTCATGGGTTTATAATGCACCTGATTAGGTACAGATGGTGTGTGTGTCTATCACACGCGTCGCCAGAATAAGCACATCTTGCTTATCAGAATAAGCATATCTTGGGAGGAGCTTGTTCTGCTGATATGTCTTCTGATAACTTAATTTTTCATTGACATATGACTCAAGGGCAGTTGTTTGCATCATGGCTTTGTTAGCTGTGTATGCAAAGGCTGTTTGCATGGAAGTGGTGGAGTCAGCTGAAAATATCTCCCCAAAATACATTCAGTGCTTTTCTTCTCAAATTGGGAAGCATGCCCTTGTCCAGACATCAAGAAAATTTGGCCAAAATACTTAGTATTGTCTAAAATGAGCAGCCTCCTCAGGATTTCTAACTAGAGTTATGTAATGAAATTATTATACTCTATATGTTTTTATGCCACTTGATAACAAACACTTCTCTTTGAAGAAGCTTATTTAATTTGGTCTCTGGAAGGAGAATGTGATCTTTCCTTCAGTCACTGATTTTTGCTAAAAGTGATCTGTGATGCCTTTTGTGGTCAGTAGTTTCTCTAACCCTAACAATGTCTTTTGAAATACAAAGCAGTTCCTTCATCTGTCTCTGCTGCGTTACAGCAGTGCTGGCTTCCTTTTGCCAGAGGTTCAGAAAGTGAGGGAGGTTGTAGACCAATTATGCATGATGACAGTAAGGGACATCCTGTTAACACTGTATGTCTCAAAGGTCAGCTGACAGCTGCAGACAACAAGTTTGCTGGAGGAAATTATTATGCAAATTATAGGGTTCTTAGTGGCTTGATAAGTTGGTAGCAGCAGGTTCTGCAAAAAGCCTTCACAGCCATTTCTTCCCTGAGTCAGCAGAAATCACCTGTCACTTGGTGATGGCATTTGTCTATTTTGGTTTTGATTATTGAGGTTCTTAATTAGTTTATAGTATTTGGTGTGACAGGGACATGGTTCTTCCAAAAATAAGCTTTTTACTTCAGTGTTTATGGGGAATAATAGAATAAACATGTATCTTTAAAGTTATCAAAGCATTCTACAGGCAGCGTGTTAGTAGAGAGAGATCTTTGCCTGCCTTTAAAGATCCATTATAACCTCACAAGTTTCTGATTATTCTGATTTTTAAAAGTTATGAGCATAATCAAAATGACTGATTTTGCGGTTATGTCCTTTCCTCTCAGCTTCTGCTTTGATTGAGAAGGAAATAGAACCTTAACGAAATTTTTTGAAAAAGCAAAAGAGTTGGTGTGAAGCAAATACTGGTAAAATTTTATCATGTAGTTAAGTATTAATTGGAGAAAGAATTTTACATTTATACCACTACATTGAATATGAAATTTTTTTAAAAGGTATTCTGAACTTTACATCTGTAATTTGTTTCCATTGTTTCAAGCAAATGCCATCTATATTGTTTTCATTTTTTTAGTGAGGTTTTTAAGACATACAATGTTGCCATGGACTACATTACGGTTGCACTCATGATCTGGAACTTTGGTGTTGTGGGAATGATTTGTATCCATTGGAAGGGTCCTCTTCGGCTCCAGCAGGCATATCTCATTATGATAAGTGCTCTCATGGCCTTGGTGTTCATTAAGTACCTTCCTGAATGGACTGCATGGCTCATCCTGGCTGTCATTTCAGTGTATGGTAAGTGTGGGAGCAAGGCGCAGTAACAGGTCCTGTGGTGGAAATTTCTTTTATTCTCTGACTTTTTCACTTTTCTGAATAGACTTTAAAAAAAAATAAGTGTGTATGTGTATCATCCGAAGTAGCAGATAAGGTGATTACAGACTTTATAAATAAGATCATGGTCCTAAACTAAGATCAGTTCCCTGCAGCTGAGGGTTTTGTATTACTGTATGATCCCATCTTCTTTCATGTTTCCTGGACTCTCTATAGATTCTTTGGGGAGGAGAGTTGAAGTAATTCGAGAGGGGAAGAGATGAGAGAGACCCATTTTTATCTTTTTTATGAAGGTGGAGAACTTCCAGCTTCTCATTTTCGCCAAGAATCTTTGGAGTCCTTTGTACATTCAGAATTTAGGAGCTTGTCGTTTCTATACAGTCCCATACAAATACACATTTGCCCAGCTTATGAATTGCTCAAATTTGTGGACATAGAAACAACAACCTGATCCATACCTGATAATGTAGTGAGAAAGAAGGAAGTAAGGATTAAGAGCAGTTTGCATTGCTCAAAGTCATTTTATAGTTAGAATGGTATGGTTGTGAGATCCGTTTCATTGGCTTTTTTTTTTTTTAATTCATTGTAGTTGTCACATACTGCTCTTTTTCAGAATGATGGCTGAGAGAAACCTAGCTGTAGTTTTTCCATAAAGCTTTAGGGGGCACTGAGCACTTGGTAAGAAGATCACTGTATCCTAAATACTGATTTAATTTCCAGGCAAGACTAAAATTCAGTTACTTAGACATAATTAAAACATTACAGCTAAGTGAAGATGTGCTCTTAATTTTAATTTTTTTGGAAGCATGTAAGTGTGCTGAATGTGTGCTCTCATAGTCACTGATCATGATAAAGACTGAGAATCTGTCCAGATGTAAGTGCAGGGGTTGATAAGATTTGATTAGCTGTGGTACATCAGTGTACTCCTTAAGTGTCCTCTTTCTTCAGGGAGAGGAGAATTGTCCCTTGTGTGTATGCCCATTGATCACAAAGCACATTAAGAAAACTTCCCATCCCCCAGCCCCATTTCCACCCTCATGTAACTGGAACAAATCTGAAGAGAGGAGAATTGTCCCTTGTGTGTATGCCCATTGATCACAAAGCACAACTTCCCATCCCCCAGCCCCACTTCCACCCTTCATGTAACTGGAACAAATCTGAGTGCTTCAAGCATTCAGCCTTTATTCAGTGATAGCAAAACAAAATTACTCGAGATTTGCCAAGACCATGATGTGGTTGTTTTGAGTACAGGGGATGTAATTTTTCAAAGCCCACAACCCCGTTCTTTACTGGAGTGGGACCAGCAGTGGTGCCAGGGCAGTTGGCTCAGGTGCAGAAGGCCTGCTCTGAGCAGCACACAGCTCCTCACAAGTCAGCTGTTCCTTTCAGTGTCAGATTGAGTTTCAAATTAATTTAAAGACATATGGTGAGTGGACAAGTGCAAAAGGCAGTAGCAGTGTTATAGCTCTCTATCCCAATGTGCCTGTTTTACAAGAATTAAGCAAGCTTCACCTGTTGTCTTAAAATTCCTTTTAGCGTTAAGCTTAGATTACAAAAAGCTTTCCTAATAGAAGGCAAGCTTGGGTATTTCCAAGATGGTAGTTGAAGAGTAGCTTTCTTGAATTATTCACAGGTCAACATATAGGCACAGGCACATTTGCAGTTGCATAATATCTTAAGTGAGGAATATAATGTTTTAAAATTTGTATGCATATTACAGTAATATGTAAAATAGGTTGCATAACTGAGAATATTAAAAAGCATTGCTGTAGGATACTGAATTGTGGCCAAGGGCTGTCTTCGAAATCTTTATTCAGGGTGCATTTTCTTACTTCAAGTCTCTCCAAGTGTTGCAGAAAAGAAACATAACTATGTCTGCAGGGATGTAAGATCTGTTTATTTTTCCTTTCAGATTTGATTGCTGTCCTGTGTCCTAAAGGTCCTCTTCGTATGTTGGTTGAAACAGCTCAAGAGAGAAATGAAACTCTCTTTCCAGCACTTATTTACTCCTGTAGGTACATTTTGTTAAATTCTTTAAGCTTGCAATCATCCACTCATCTGAAGCAATCTTCTCATTTTTCTGGGTTTTAATAAGATGCTTTTCAGCTAAATTCTTGAGCTGTTCACGTGGGCCTCAGTTTTTGTTTCACTGTTGACTGAAAAATGTGGAACATCATCTGACTGAGACATTTCAAGATAAAAACCAGCATGTTTTGTTCCAAATTACAAACAGGAAGAATGGTAACAGACCTTGTTTTGGATAAAGTACTATGTCCTTAGGCTGTGAATTAAGCCTGTTCAAAGGGAGCAATTGTTTCCAGAAAATATTTACCAGCTTTCAGTCCTTAAATAACCTGTGTCTTAGTATAAGAAATGTGAGAAATTACTAGAAAGAGGTTTGTTTGTGTGATTGTTTTCTCAATGGGTTGTCCTCTTTGGTAAATTGTTTCTTTGCTTTCAGTCCTTAAATAACCTGTGTCTTAGTATAAGAAATGTGAGAAATTACTAGAAAGAGGTTTTGTTTGTGTGACTGTTTTCTCAATGGCTTGTCCTCTTTGGTAAATTGTTTCTCCCTGCAGTTGTGAAAAATAACCTATTGAATTCAAGTTGCTTTTGTGACCTGTGTATCAATTAGTACCTAATTCCATTGTTTCTGAAGTTCCATGTTGCTACTCGTAGTCGCATGGATAACAGTGAAAAAGGCTAATCATAAGTCACCATGCTGCTGGTGCTTCAGACAGGCCTGTATTTGAAAGCAGGAAGTGTTCTGCAGTCTGGCCACTTTGGAGACAAGCTTACAGTGGAGAGAGGGAGGACTTTCTTTGTCTGTCACACTTGCCCAGCATCAGTAAAATGTGGCATAGCTGCCTGTTATTCTGTTTTGTGAGAGGAGAGGTTAACACTGAGAGCTTGAATTAAAATATACCTTTTATATGTAAAAACATTTGGTTACCTCCAGATTGGAGGATTTTTTGTGATGGCGAAGGAAGAGAACAATTAACTTTGATGTAGATACTGCCTCTGAATTGACATGACTCTGTAACAGTGTTTAGAGACCTTTTTATTTGCAGATAAAATAACTGATTAATGAAAAAAGTAAAGAAATGCTTGATCTTCAGAGTGAACCTCATATGTAGAAGTAATTAGTCTGGCAACAGCTGTTGCCTTTTTTTTTCAAAATCTAGTAGAAATAAAATTTTATTCACCAGTTTTTGTAAATGTGTTGTTGCTGGTGCTGGCTGTGTTCCAGATATTATTGTGCTTTAATGAGACTAAAATTGCCTGTTGGAAAAGATAGTTGTATCCAAAAAAACCATGAAAAATGAGAAATAATGGATTGATGCTAACACTATCTCAGAATTTCATACATCAGAAGATACAATTAGCTATGCTGTTGTGGTTTGCATTTCTTTGCTAGCAACAATGATATGGCTTGTGAACATGGCTGAGGAAGATCCAGAAGCCCAACGGAAGTCCAAAAACTCCGCTTTTGGTAAGCAAGGTGAGCTTTGCTTTTACAAACCTTTGTCACTTTATTGGAATATATGTTTCTGGATACTTGTCTTTTAGTTTTTTTAAGAGTCCTGGGTGCTGTAGTAGAATGAAAGCATGGAGGCCTAATTAAGAATGATGGGTCTGTCAAGACTTGAAGAATTGTTTACTTATTGTGCAGTTAATGTTCTTGCATTCATTTTTCTGGGATCTGAGATGTTGGTGTTGAAATGACTCAATATAAAACTATCAACTGAGCTCAACTGCTTGTCAAACTGGGATGACACAGTATAATACCAACTCATTTATATTTGTGTTAAACAGAAATATGCCTAGCCCTTCTGGCTATGCAGATAGTGTTTAAAATGTGGAGTTTGTTTATTTATATGTGTTACTAAAGCAGAGTGCAGTTTCTGAATTGAACATGCTTGAAGGCATCCATGTATATATAACTTTCAGTAAGGTTTTCTATTTTACTGGAAAATTAAGCTGTCAATGTCAACTAAAGAAGCTAATTAAATATTAGATGATAGTTTATTCCTTAATGGTCTTCGTTAGGTTATCACAGAACTTCCACTTTCATGTGGACATATTCCTGAATACTAGGACTTGAGTGCAACATGTAGGTGCTGTGACTGCAGAGTGTACGTTGACTCCTGAATGTTTAAGTAAATATTAAAATCCTAAGAGAGGGTGTCTTGTGATTTTGTGTGCCAGTGCTAGATGTTGCTAAGTATTATAGAGTACCTCTTCCTATCCTGTTCTTCTATAATGTTATATGTGGAGAGACTTTCATGTTTTAGAAGGCACATTTTTGGAGGAGTTTTAAATGCCTTTCTTCCTTTGAGCTCCAGCAAGCCGGACCCAGAATGAAGATGCTGAAGCAGATGATGGTGGCTTTAGTCAGGAGTGGCAGCAACAGAGGGACAACAGAATAGGACCCATTGAATCAACACCCGAGTCACGTGCTGCTGTGCAGGCTCTACCCAGTAACTCTCAAACAAGTGAAGACCCTGAAGAACGTGAGTGTGGACTACTGTGTCTGAAAAGCTTACTAAACCTGAAGCTAGTCAGTCAGGCATCCTGAGTGCATGGATGCAGGTTTCTGTGAGCTCTTAGCAAGCTGAAGAGATGCACTTGCTCCTGATGAATACTGATATGCCTCATAGGAATAATGGTGTTGCTTTTTGATAGAATTTCATTTTGTTGCAGGCGTGAGTAATATTGGCCAAATTGCTCTTTAGTTTCATACACAGACTCAAAACTTCTGTTGCACAAGCTGTTTTCAGACCATTACATGGTCAGTTGCATTAGCCTTTGTCTTTTACATGTAGTGTTCTGCTGTGTATCACCTCTTTTGGATTTTAGGCCCTAAATAAATGGAGTCATTAACCGGTTTTTTGTGCCTCAAGATTAAACTGCTGTAATCCACTTGGTAGGAAGCAATGTTTAAAACCTGATTGGAGACTGTAATTAATGCAGAATGCAATGGGCTTGCTTAGTTTTCTTCAGCATGTTGCTAAGGTGAAATACCTTTGGAAAGTATGTGATATCAGTACTCAGATACCTGTTTTAACAGACTCACGAGTTCCAGTTGGAGTTCAAGCTGCTATTAGATATGCAAAGCTCTAAATAAATTAGGGTGTGCCTGTCATGTGATACTGCCATATTTTAGCAGGTGCAGCTGCTTCCTCTGATGATCAGGTGCTCCTCTGTTTAAAAATACAGGCTTCTACTTTAAGAACAATTTTAAAATTTACTTATTAAAAAAGTCCATTTTCAGCATGCTGCAAATAATTTTTAATTTCCAGAGCTTAAAAAGATAACATTGTGATGCAAAAATTTTAGCAAAGAGGCTATTGCAATTAATTTTTTAACTAAAACTCTTGTCTGGCCAGGCTAATAATATTCTCCTTCCTGTATTCGTGCAGTGAGTAGTAATGATCCAGTCAGACTTGTCAGCCAACATTAGTTTACTGCAAGTCTGAAGCAGTGAAGGTCTGCTTTAGCAGTTTAAGGGTGTTTTAGTGCTTAAGAGATTTTCATGAATGCACTCTTCCAGGCATTTTGTTGGAGGCCTGTTGAAAGAGAGTAGGGTTGCCTTTTTTCTTTTATGCATTTTCTCCCTTTTTTCCTTTCCCCTCTCCTCCTGCCTCCATAATTAATCAAACATCCACCTATGTTTTCATGTTCTTAGTTCCTCTTGGAACTCCAGAATGAATGTTGGGCTGGACTGTGGTGAGGTGGAAAGTAATCAGTAGGCCACATGAAAACAGCTGGTCACCTGATGCTGGCCTTTCTTAATTAACATCTTGGACTAAATGCTCAGAATCTGAATTGGCAGAAATTGCAGTGCTTGCAGAAATAATTAAATTGTGCTTCCAGAGTTGTTGCTAAAGTGGTAATAACTTTTAAGTTAAAAGAATAAGTGAGAATGAATTTTCCTAAATCTCACATGTTGGTCTAAGTATCTTGAGTTTTTCCTGCTGTGATAAGCTCTGTACTTACACACAAGTGCTTTTAAGAACTACCTGCATAAGAATTCTCTAGGCAAATTGGGAAGACAGTGGAATATTTTGCAGTTTATAGGTTTCTAACTGGCAAATAATACGTCTTGTGCAAGGGATTTATTTTTTCTCCTCCCTCAGCCAGGTTAAAGCAATTGCTCTTCAGTATTCTGTTGAATATGACAAGACAAGCAAAAGTGGACACCCCTCCACAAATAAAATTACAGATATCTGAGTTTGTATATACTGCATTTATATGTCCTGGGAAATAGGAGCATAGGGAAGTTCTAATTAAAGGGTGAATTAATTGAGTAGTGTAGCATTTCTAAGCCATCTTGTTTCACAGGAGTTTATCACTTGGTTCAGAAGTGGTACTAATTTTGAAAATAAAATGTTATTTTTAGCAAGTCTTTTTAATAGTTAATGTAAGTATATATTATTCTTTGATAATTACTGACATGTAGTTTTAGTAGACTGATATTTAATGCTGCCATATGTTCACTTTGCAGGAGGAGTAAAGCTCGGTTTAGGAGACTTCATTTTCTACAGTGTCCTCGTTGGCAAAGCCTCTGCAACAGCAAGTGGGGACTGGAATACAACTTTAGCATGTTTTGTAGCCATATTAATTGTGAGTAATGTAAAATTATAGTAGGGATAGTTCCTAATGTTCATCAAGGATAAAGTTGTAACTGCTGCATTTTGTCTTTGATCTTGTTTATTGGGTGGCCAGACTGAAAACTGGTGAGGACTTTAGCTGTGATTTTTATGGACTGTACATCTGTCACTAAAGCCTTTAATTTAGGAAGACATAAAACATAACCTGTAGCATTAATATTTATACATACATATATTTTATATAATTTTTTGCTTGTCAGAGTTCCCTAATTTCTCCTTATGTCTTTTGTGTTTTGTTTTTTTTCTTCCCCTTAGGGTTTGTGCCTTACACTTCTGCTTCTTGCCATCTTTAAGAAGGCCTTACCAGCTCTTCCAATCTCCATAACATTTGGGCTAGTTTTTTACTTTGCTACAGATAACTTGGTGCAACCATTTATGGACCAGCTAGCATTCCATCAATTTTATATCTAGCAGACATGATTCTGAAATGGATATCTGTAGCAAATCTGGGAGGAGGAAAAATGGTTTTCCCTCAGCTCTCAAGGGAGACTGAAGACAAATACTCAAGATTCCAAGGCGGAATCATTGCAACTTCCTCCAATGGTGGTTTTTGGTTTGGTTTTTTCCCTGAGACAACTGCTGCACTGGGCATCGTATGATTTTTCCTGTGTGAAAGTGGCTTCTTCCTGATGGCCAGTCTAAGCCAGGTGCTGTTATATCAGAGATCATCTGATATACATATCTCTGGTAAGGACCACCTGTGTGAAAATTGCTAATGCTTCCACCAGCAACATGATCTCTTACCACAGGCTGATTGTTTTCACAGCGCTAAGGGTGCTCAGGACTTCCTTGTTGTTAACAGAGGAAGCTGACAAATCCCATGGAACTTGTCCCTGTAACCGCTTGAAGAGAGAGAGCCCAATCTGGACTTCTTCAGCAGTGACATTTTGACAGTGGAGTCCCGACTGTGTAAGGGGAAAGGACTTTGTAGCAACTCGACAAAGGGAGAAAGTACTGTCACTCTAAGAGTGCTCCATGACTTCATAGCCTCTGTGCCTGAGTGTGTTTGGTTTAGTAAATCTAAAACTTTTTCTCTTTTCCCACACTGGAACTAGAACCTTTTTTCAGTTTTAATACTTTGCTTTCTCAAGCATGGAGTGCACCTTCTGTACACCTGCTCCTGTTTATTTAGCTGCTTAGGCTTGGACTGAATTATTTGGCAGTAGAGGATCATAAGGTCCTGATTTGGATCCTACATTCTAAAAGGTTAATAAACTACATTAAAAAGCAGTTTGGGGACTTACTCTTCGTGCTCTTGCAAATAATTTTGCTAGAACACCATTTCAAACCCCACATTTGAAAATAGTCACTAACAGCACGGACTGCATCACTGGTGGATGTTCCTTCTTGTTGGCATTCTTATGAAACAAGTAGGTGTTTGCAGCAATCCCAGATGGAGTTTAGCTTGGCAGATCTAGAGATCAAAGTGTTATTAGGAGCTCTTCTATTGCATCGTTGAAATTCTTGGTCATCAAAAACGTGGTTTAGAGTTCTGTTGAACTGCGTATTGGTCACTCAGCTGTCTAACACCTCAGGGTGGCAAGGATTTTTCTTGTGCAGTATCTTTATTGATGAGGATGCTTAAGTTACGTGAGAGATTGCTTAATGTCACTAAGGAGCAAAATTCGTGACTCTCTTCACTTTAATTACCTCTCTTGTGAGGAGCTGGTGATTGGCAAAATGAAAGACAATTCAATATCACTGAAAAGAAGATAGGAGATTTTGAACTTCTTATAAGAAGAGTCTGTTCAAACCTTAAAACTGCTAAACTGATTTCTTCTTCATTTGAAAGAACTCCTTTATGAATAATGGCTTGGAAATGAGACAAGTGAGATGAAGGTGGTTTTGCCATAAATTCTTACTGTGTACAAGTAATGTTTTTTCTTGGGAGCCATAGGGAGTGGATAGGCATTCTATTTTACTTGTATCTTGATACTGGAGTCCTTGCCAAGTAGAGCAACTGTCAAAATCCTAACACTAGCTCCTTTTACCTTTTTTTCCTGGGGTTTTATTTCAGTGCCTATAGATTCATAGGACTGAAACATCAGAGATGCTCATCAACCATTGCCCAAGTAAAGAAAGAAAGACTGTGATGTATAAATCTGCTTTAAAACCAAGAAAGGCATTATTTGATTGTTCTTAGTAATATATGTATTTTCCAGTATGACTTGTTAACTGTAGTGTTAGCATTTACATTTTCATAAAATACATTGTCTTGTCTCATCTGAAGTACTTTTATTCATCTCATTTGTGTGCTGATTCATTGTGTATAGCATTAATAAACCAACTATATCAAAAGTGCTTACAGTAACTTTTCAAGTTAAACTTGTTTGTGTTTTCTAGCTTAAATTACTGTTCCATATTTTGTTGCAATGAAGTCTGACTTAAAACAGGTTGGTTGGTGAGGGTTTTACAGATTTCTGTTGTCACTTCTTGATTAGTTTTTGTATTTGGGTTTTTTTTTTTTAACAAGACTTTGTTTATATACCATTGTAACTTGTTCTTTTCCTGAGCTAAAATAAATCCCTCATGTGTTTTATTGGGCATCTCAGCTATAGTTCCACTGTATAGAACACGTTTGCTAGGAGTTTGCATTGCTAGCATTTGTGTATCTGAGCTGGCTCTCAGTTAAGGGTTGTGACTTAAATGCAGAAGTCATCTCTCTTACTTCTTTTTTGGCTTGGATATGCACCAGGGGAACATTACCTCCATTAAGAGTGGCTTTAGAATATGTAGAAATGTACAAAAGCTTTTTCACGTACTTGAATGGATGTTAGATGTGCAACCCAAGGAAGAGCTCCTTCCAACACTAAACTGCCAGTCTTCCACTTTCCAGAGCTGCTTCTGTTACTCTGAAGTGTTAATTTCTGAGCTAGTGTAGAGTTACAGTGGTAGAGACTATAAAATTTGTATTCACAGAAGCTGCTCAAGTTTATGTTTGAATCTCAAAATAGGTTTAGAAGGGCAATTGCTTTTATAAGTAGCTGTATGTTAAAGTACACTGCTTATTACCAGGTCTTAGGTACACCTTCAAAAACCAGATGAAATTTTCTAGATTTGCCCTCTCAGGCCAAATCATGGTAGCTTATGTTTCAGATGAGGTCTTGCAGCTAAGGATTATCTCAGAACAGAGGTCCAAATAAGGTTCAGTGGCCAATAGGTTTTGTTTGCATTTGGGTTGTTACTACACAAATGTGAAGGTTGTGTCACTTTTCTTTGTCTTGAAACACCGATCTAATTTGAAGATTCACCTCGGTTAGATTGTTGTAACTGAAAGATTTCTCATAAGTAGTCTGCATTTTATAGAGAGTTTCCATTATTATTAAATTAGTATGTTAATGACAGCACATTAGGCTGTAGCTCTGAAAGAACTATGGTGTAAGCTGAGTAGATTCATCCCTTCTGTGCTCAGGCAGATTGACTTGTAGCTGTTGTGTGGCTGTTCCAGTGTTCATACTTCAAAACGGCTGTCACAGTAGCTTTCTTTCCCCATTCAACTTAGAGCAATAGGTCTCCTTCTTTAGCTAAGATTCAATTCAATATATAAATGAGAAGACATAATAGTTTTCCTAAATTCCAGGCACTTGTGTTTGTCTCTTTTTTTTTTTTTTTTTTTTTCTTCCCTTCTATGGGGGGATTTAATCCAGGGCAAAGAAAGAGACCCCTGGAAGTTGGTTTTACAGCAAAGGCTTAGGGTGCTGTTGTACCTGTGTGTGGCTATTATGGTCACACTCAAATTCAAGTGTCATCTGTGTGAGGTGCATCCTGAAGGTGTAAGAATGTAATGCTGCAACACATTCACGATAGTTCTGGATGGGTAGATGATGACTTCTTTGAGCCAAAAAAATCAAGGGCTGTGCTCCACTAAAAATGGCTGATCTCCTCAATGTACAAAGCAGACATAGGCTATTTCAGGCATGGGAGGCTGGTGCTTCTCAGACATACAGATATATATCTGTTCCTTTAGACATACAGATTCATGGACTCTGGACCTGTAGATGACAACTCTTCTGCCATTAGTGTGGTCAAGGATTAAATATGCAGAAGTGACTTTGGGGTTGATGGTACTGTTCAACAAAACTTAGCAAAATGCTTTATTTCAAAAATTACTTCTGACAGTGCTGTTGAAACAAGTTTAATAGACTGTGGAACATGTCTGCACTGTGATTGCATCTCAGTGGTAACTTGGTCATTGGAAACGCTGAAACATGAACTAGAATGGAATTCTTTTACACTCAAAGCATTTGCTGTTTTCTTTTTTACAGACACTGGTTTGTACATAACCTGAATTAAATGTGAATGTTTTTTAAACATCTTTCCGGTTCTTGGTAAGATATGGTTTTGATAGATTATTGCAAATTCTCCTGTATTTGTCTAATAATTAAAATAAAAGTTGCATGGATCCTGATTCATTTTGCCTTTACTACATTACTTTAAAGCCATCACTTAAAGCTCTTGGAGGCATAAGCACTGTAGTTATTTTTATTCAGCATTTAATGAGTAAGATTCCTTTCTTAAGGCATTTTAAGTAGCTGCTGTATTTCCCACCAATAGAGTTTCAACTGACTTCAGTAGAATTACTTTCTTTTAAAAGCTACTTTTTGTGTTCCTTTAAAGAGTCAGTCAAAGCCTCTTGCAAAAGTGCCCATAAGGTATAATTAAGGCATGAAAAATGAATTATACTGAAACACCAGCTGGCACAATGAAGATTACCAGAAAAATACATAGGCTATTCAGAAAGAAAACACTTCATGAACAGTGTTGTGTATTGTTATTTTGAAATTGATTTCTTATCAATATGATTGAAACGGAACCTTGGGTTTTTCTCGTTGTTTTGGAAAAGTATTCACTGCACAGTTCAGATTTGTTTGAGTTGACTAACTTCTATTGAAGAGGGTTTGTTGTTTGTTTTTTGGGGTTTTTGGGGGTGGGGGGGGGGGCATGGGTGGGTTTAACCTTTGTCTCTGCATTAAAGACCTAAAGAAAAGTCCATCCTGACAAGTAGAAAGTAAAGTGCAGGTGGTAGGGGGGGCCATGTGGATGCGCCGTGTAACTGAGCCCACACAGGAAGTGGAGAAGAGGTGGAAGCAGGGGCAGATGACCCAAAGGGAGCATAGAGTTGTTTCCTGATCTTGCAGGGCTGGTGTTAAGAAAGCAAAGGCCCCTCTGGAATTGCATCTGGCTAGAGGTAAAGGGCAAGAAGAAGGAAGACATTCATGGGAAGGTATTTTACAATTATATAATGGCAAAAGGAAGACTTGGGAAATAAAGGTGCCCCTCTCCCCCACCCCTGCTGAATGGGGCAGGGTATCTTATGACAAAGGACATGGAGAAGGCTGTGGTGCTTGTTGCCTTCTTTGCCTCAGTCTTTATTGGTGGGACTGGCTTTTAAGAGTCCTGTATCACTGAGGCCAGAGGGAAAATCTGGCCTCAGTGATATGGGAACAAGGTAGATCTTGGTGGAAGAGGTCAGCTTAGGGAGCTTGCAAACTGGATATACTTAAGTGTATGAAGCCTGACAGGTTGCATCCATAAGTGCTAAGGGAGATGACTGATGTCATCGCAAGGCCACTCTCAATTGTCTTTAAATGATCATGATAGCTGGGAGAGCCTCCTGGCAACTGGAAGAGAGCAAATTTTAGTCCTAAAAACTGCTCAAGAGGAGCAGTAAAGAAGAGCAGGTGAGCTACAGGTTGTTCAGCCTTGCCCCAGTCCCTGGGAAGCTGATATGGAAAATCATGCTGGAAAGCACTTCCAAGTATATGAAGAACAAGAGGATGATTGGGAGTAACTAGCAGGAATTTATAAAGTGAAAATCATGCTTGACCAACCTCTTTGCCTTCCACAATGTCTTGCTCAATGAGGGGAGAGCAGCTGATGTTGTTTACTTGGACTTGTAAAGCTTTTCACACCATTTCCCGTAACCTCACCATAGACAAGCTGATGAAGGATAGGTTAGATAAGGGGATAGTGAGATGGACTGAAAACTGCCCTGGTGCTCAGGCTCAGAGGGTTGTGATCAGCAGCACAGAGTCCAGTTGGAGGCAAATCATTAGTGGTATATCAAAGGGCTCAGTACTGAGGTCAGTGCTGTTCAGTTTATTAATTTGTTATATGAATCATGAAAAGGAGTGTTCCCTCAGCAAGTTTGCAGATGACACAAAAATTTGAAGCAGTGGCTGATAGACCAGATGACTCTGCAACGATTTAGAGGGACTTCAACAGGCTGGAGAACTGTATGGAAAACAATCTCATGAAGTTTAACAAGGGAAATACAAAGCCCTCCCCCTGGGGAAGAGTAGCCTCAGGCATCAGTACCAGCAGCAAAGTAGTAGAATTTTATCTTAGACTAAATACTCAACTTGGAGCTACAATCTAATATGCTAATTTAATTACCCCTGTGTTTTCTTACTTCCCTTTTTTAATATAATCTTTTGGGGATAGGTAAATAAGACTCCTTTATTGACAGTGTCAGCTCGCATAAAGAACTCAGCTTGATGTGTAGCAGTTACTGCTAGATACTTTTTAACTACCAAGTCTCAACAATTAAAGTTATATTTAAGGACATATTCTGGGCTGAAATGTCAGGAGTTTGTGGACTCTATGGAGAAAAGCATCTGCCTTCAGTGGCAGGAACTAACAGAACAGAGAATTGGGTAAGGAAACAATCAATGAGTTTTACAACATGTATTTGTTTCTCTTCTCTTTAAATCGTGATATGTTGCAGGAAAGATGATTTTAGCTTGGCATCAAGTGGTGTTGGTAGTTAGTACCAATGTAATTGGATCCAGTTTGACTTTTCTTTGGTTTGAAATATGCTTTTAATCTAAACTGACTGGAATAATGAATAGACTTCTGTGTTGGTATTAATTTTCTGATTTCAGTAGTGTTAGATAGGGGTTACCCACTTTGATCTGGGGTAATGCTGCTGTCAGAATTAAACATTGTACTTCTCGCTGGCTTTGTTGTACAAGTCAGCGTGAGTGTACTTGGAGAATGCCTCAGAGCACAGCTGGATGTTCATCAAGTGCAGCAGCTCTATATTTGATTGAATCAATGGTTTATTTAACCATCCTCAGTAACAAAATGCTAATCACTGATTGAATGGCATACTCGAGTGAAGAGGTCCAGCTACCATGTAGTTGTTGGCACACTCACAGCCCAGCCTGGGCCTCTGAACTGATACAGTTCGGTAATGGACTGTGTGACAAATTCTACTTCCAGTTGTTCCAATGAGGGAGGAATTAATTCAGCCTTAGACATAACAGCATACCTGTGGGCACCAAGGGGAACATTTGTAAGGACAAAAATGGCAGCATGGGGCAGATAGAGGCCTGATGAGATCCCACAGTGCAGAGGTGCTGCAAGGGGGTGATTATTGTTTGGTGGCAGTGCCTGTCCTGGTGTCTGCAGCCAGCACCCAGCAATAATCACTTCTAAAGCTGTAATCACAGCCACATGGCAGCATTGTGCCTTTTTTACTGCTTTCTATTCATAGTGCTCGTAACAAGGGATTAAAGAGCATGATAAAAATATATACTTGAAAAAAGTAGACTGTTATAAAATGATTTCTTTTTGGAGGACTGTATTTAGTACATGATGAATACTGCAGGGGAAGCATGTATGCGTTTCCAGTCACTGCTAAGGTTTTGAAACTATTTTAAGAACAGCAGAACCTGGCTGTTGTCATAGTAGCAATAAACCTTTTAATCCTACTTCCTCTGGAGATGAAGCTGTTGTGTGCATAATCTACTTAAAGATTTTCAAGGCTGTTTATGTGACAGGGAGCTAGGGATACAGTACTGAGAAGATGCTCCTTGTTGCTCTGGAAAATTTAGTACTTTTTGTCTGCTTTGATAGTGCTTGAGATTTGCTGAGAGACTGATCTTATGACAAGCTGGTAGAAGTCATCTGGGAAGCCAGCCTTCATCTATACCAGTGTTTTGGCATTGACAACTTGTCATGGTTAAATGAAACTGTTCCTAGGTAGTTCCTCAGCAAGGGCTTGCTGATATCATGCTTCTCCCCTAGTTTAAAAGCATCCTTTTTGAGGAAGTCCTTTCATCCTGAATGCTTCCATTCCTTACAGTCTCTGAGGCTTCTGAATCAACATTAAGTCGTACTTTTATATTGCTGAATAGTGAACACAATTAACACTTCCTTGATGTATTTGGATAATGCAGACTGACTTATTCTTAAATGTACAACAGGTAGTCAAGGGAAATCCGCAGACAACTGAGAAGTTCTTCAGCTGTTGTTTTGGATGTTGGTTTAGCTGGGTAAGCAGAGTTTTAAATGTCATGTCAAAAAAATCATTATAATAGAATTTGGCATCTTGAACCAAAAATGACGTGAGTGTTTGTTCACATGTATCTAGAACTAAAAGAGATCTTTCTTCTCGCCAGATCAAATTTCTCAGTAATTGCTGACATCTGTGCCACTGCCAGTTTATTTGGTGTTAGTCTGGTTATGGGACTGGATTGCATAACCCCCATGTCCTGCAAATAATCAGTGGGCATCTTTTCTTTTATTTGAACCAGTATTTCAGTTAATATGTACTGAATAATAGCAACAGTTAGGGAATTTTTATTTGTTTGTTTCCCTGTTTGGGTATTTTTACTTGTTTGTTTTCCTGAAGTCTGCATGTTCTGTCAGGATGGATGCTCAGTCTTTAGGAAAATATCACGCTGCAGAATAAATGAAAGAATGTTTCTAAGATTAATTTGCAAATTATATATTTGCCCCTCTATAAAGTTCTGATTATGGATAATTGTTTTCTGCTCATTCCTCTCCTTTCCAGCAACCCTTAATTCAACGTGACATGGAAAGATGTATTAGGCAAACCATTGACTGTTGTGTTGTCATCAGATCTAATTACTCCCTGGGGTGCGTTGCTCACTGGCTTACTGAGACCATCATTTGAATCCTGTGCATCTGACCTGCCCTTGCAGGCTCTGGAGATGCTGGCAGGCCCCAGTCTGCTCTAAGGGCCAGGGAAGTTGTTTCCTTCTTTTTTCTCTTTCCTTCTCATGGCACTGACCTCAGGCTCTATGGAGGGGGAGCACCTCCTCAGGTGAAGGAGGTTGGTGTGGAGGTGAAAGTCCCTTGGACAATCCGCTGTGGTCCCCACGAGATGTCCTGTGTAGTTTCCTCACCAGAAATGTGGTTAGGTGCCATGGAGGATGTCTTCCCAGCAGAACTCCTTGTATTACTGTTTAGAGAGGGTTTGCAAATTTTCCAGTTTGACACTGAACAAAACCACTTCTTATTTTAAGAAGAGCTTTTGTTTTGAAACATTCTTAACATTTAAAAATAGTCATTAATATTTTTCACTCTTTGCTTTAATCTGAAGGATTCATCACTGTCCTCCTCTGGAAATTTTTCCACCTCAAATATTAAATAGTTTTA